CTAATGTTTATATTGTTTTTTATTTTGTTTTCATATTTTGAAGCATTAGTAAATAAAATCTGTACATTGTTTCGAGATTTACTAGAATGTTAACCTTAACAAAGTGTTGGATAATTAATTTACCTTTCAGCTAAGGAAAGACTACAGTATCTTGACTTCAAATTTTAATCTAAGACTGTGGATGGGTCAGATAAAAATAAGCAAAATCCATATCCTGCACAATAAGCCTTAAATAATTTTTTTTACAGGTACACTGACTTTTTTTTTCCCTGCATTTACCGGTACTCTAGATTTCGGTCAGTCTACAGTATGTGGGAATTGGTTTATTCATATTGCATGTAAAATCCATGTCAGACATACAGGCATAACCTAAGATTAAAAAATTGAAACAAAATTTTTGATGTAGAAAGTGAATATTTCTAGAATGATCTACAGTAAACGGGCTTCTTATTTCTTTGTTTACAATAAGAACATTGCCGAAAATGTAAGAAATTGGAATCAAGAAGACTGTGCACATCAAAGAATTTAGTACTGAAAAATTAGTTGTGTAAAATTCAAGAACCTTAATTAGAACTTTTGCCTAGTTCATTTTTTCCAAAAAGTATAAAAGATAATTAACATGGTTTTTAAACATTTATTAGATTATTCACTTGTCAATAATGGGATAAAATACACACAGGATTGTACCACAGTTTTACTATACAGATATATATATGCAGATTAGAAAAGGACAACTGATTACCGTGTGATCAGCTAACATGAAATCTGTGTTACAGAGTTGAAATAATTTGTTTCTGTTGTCAAACACATTACCAGGTACATACACATTTTTTTCCTTGCTGCACATTTGACTAACTTGTAAGTAAAACCGTTCATTTGTCCTACCAAAAATAACTCAGACTTTCAATTCAGTCCATCGTTAGTTTTTTGTGTTAGTTTTAACAGTGTAATCAATGTCCTCGTGAATAGTGTCGCAGGATTTTCACCTCTATTGCATATTCAGCTGACCAAATATCAAGTGGCTACATAAAGAATAATAACAGTAAAGCAAATACACTGGCTACCAGTCCAATGCCAAACAGTATCAATGTCTCTGATTACTATCTAAGCATCATCAACTTCAAAAAAGATAAGTACAGTACAGTTACTGTAAATGTATTAAAACACAGATTACTTACATAATGTGTGTGTGTTCTTTGAAATTATAAATGTTAATAGAACTGCTACTGAGAAAACAACTGAAGAAATCTTTTTGTTTTCATTTAAGAAAAAGCTGTGTAAAAATTTAACTCTTAATAAAAAAATTTGTGTGCATAATGTGTAAAACACTGGCATGGGTGTACAGGTAGTAACATAAGAGTTATGAAAAATCTGCGGCATTATAACATAATTTCATTATACAGTCCAGTATCTGGTACCATTTTCATTATGTGTGATCCTTTCTTAAGTATAGGCTTCCTCATACAGGTTCACCAAGTTTTATATTAGCAAATCACTAACCATTATTAAGTTGTTCAAATTCAGAATCCTAATTTTTCAGTTAAATCAATTTGAAAGGCATCATGGCAATAGGTATTAACAGTCAGGCAACAATATATAAAAATGAAAAAATAACGTTTAATTATCTCAACAATGTTAGGTAGATTTGTTTGTAGCATCCCTTAATAGGGAAGAGAAATTCAAAAGATAAATTCTGCTTGGTGACAATATCAATGCCTCTTTGCTATGAGCCTCACAACATATTACCCGAAGGATCTCATACCATAAAGCGTATTTTGACATAAAATGGGCATGTGTGATACACCAGTAAATTTGTGCAATATGTTGCATAAAATAAATGTGAGTCACCCAATGCAATATGAGAATTGCATAAATTAAATGACATCATCATAATACTCCTGAAGTATATATATATATATATATATATATATATATATATATATATATATATATATATATATATATATATATATATATATATATATATATATATATATATATATATATATATATATATATATATATATATATATATATATATATACATATATATATATACATATATATATATATATATATATATATATATATATATATATAGTATATATATATATATATATATATATATATAGTATATATATATATATATATATATATATATATATATATATATATATATATATATATATATATATATATATATAGTATATATATATATATATATATATATATATATATATATATATATATATATATATATATATATATATATATATATATATATATATATATATATATATATATATATATATATATATATATATGAACTTGAACTCTCGTGTTTTATGAACAAAACAAAGTTATTTCATCAGAAAGCCATTATTGAACTTGATGTACAGTATGCTAGTATGAAATTCAAAATAAAATTCACATAGAAAGTGTGAGTATGTTATTAATATTACATTTATGAAATACACATTTACTCATACTTTCCATTCCTGTGTGTCATGTTAGATTGTATGGCGATATATAATATTTCAGAAATTTAATAGGTAGCTATGCTAAAATGAACATACTATTAAAATCATAAAAACAGTAGTTCAAAGCATGATCATTAATCAAGCAATCATATATGAATGCTGAAACATACAATTGGTTAATTAAAAAATCAAAGTAATACCACTCACTGAGGGTACAAAAATGCTCATAAAATATGTCTCTTTAGGTCAGTAAGATAAGAATGTGACTACAACAAGTAAAAAATTGCTGGAATATTAAAATAACATGCATTCCTGGTCCTAGTGACAAAATCCACCACCTTGAAATAGTATTTTGTTGTAACTCTGGCCAGCTTCAAACACCAAATGAAACCTTAACCTAATTACTGCCTAAAGAGTTTTAGAAACTAAAATTAAGTGTTTGATACTGTGTATATTAACTACTGGAGTAGGAATTACTTGGAACTTTCTTCCAAAAAGCAAAGAGGAGTGAGTACTGACTGGCAAGAATATTATTGTCGGCAGTTAAATTATGACGAAATACAATAATAAAATAGAACAGACATGGTATTTCTCTTTACCTGATACTGTAATACATAGTTGGAATTTCTAAAATAAAGTATGACTCAAAATAGGAGAAGAGAAAATTCTCTTATAATGAGAAGACAAAATGTCAAAAGGACGCAGTAGACAAGTTTCCAACATAGAACTTTCCTTTACTGTAAGATATACACCTGAAACATAAATGAGAAGAATATATACACTAAAACACATATATATTTTCAGATGTTTTCTCACAGCATTAGAATAAATATGTACAAAGTAAACATAATTTATATTCCTAATTTAACATTATACTACTGCCATTAGAAATGTTTGGAAGAATTTGATGTTCCTTCAAATGGGATTGTATTTCTTGCCAACTCCGACTCTTCTCAGCTTTTCACACTTATAATCAGTCATGGCAAGTAATCTCAATGGTTACAGTTGTATTGTTTAAAAATAAGTAGTACATAAGTATTATCCTTATTTTTCCATCAAAAGATAGCTATTAAACTATATAGACATTAATAAACAATAGTGCGACCTTAGTAATTTCCTTTCACTCATGACCTAAGGTTGGTAGAACAAAGTTTTCTATTACAAAAATATTTTACTTGACACAAAAAGGCTGTGCCTTGTATAACAACCAAAATGTATAGATGTTCACATCATGACGAGCAGTACATGCTGCTATCTGAGATTCAAGCCTTGAAAACTCATTTTACAGGTTGAATGAATACTAAAACCTCTATGAGAGGGATTCCTTATGCCATGAAGTGCCTTGGGCTTGCATAACAGAGAAAGTCTGACTGATAAAATCTTCAATGGACAAACATTAGTAGAGGCAAAACATAAATATTTAGCAGTCAGATATAAGTACTGCAACAGTTATTTTCAAGATAGAGAAACAATTTTTAATGTGTGAATACTTTTTACTGGAGACTGGAGGTAAGCTTAGAGGCCAGATGATAGTTTTCATTCCATTGTTACTTGACATTGCATTCCCAAAATAGCAATGTTATATAATTATTTATGACACATTAAGTACACACCACTGGCATTTAAAGGTTCAAAAGTTCTTCAAGCGTGTGAGCTATTGGTTGTTACTGCAATGCCAAAGCTATGAAGCCCACAACAACTATTTTTTTCTGATTTCTTATTCATGTCAATACTTTTTGCTGCTCTTTACATTCAAAAGCAACATCAAAGCAAAGTAACACTGATAGATACTAATTTAATTATGGCATTTTTTAATGTAAATAGGGGAACACAAAGCTTGGCCTACAAGACTAGTCGAGCAGAAATTATATTTTGATGTTATAGATCGTGTGATGAGCTGGATGATGTATGAGAAGGTGTAAGGAATTGGATGGTGCAGGAAGTTGGTGGTAAACAGGCATATGCTTTGATGAAGATGTATTATATGGATGAGCATCATAATCTGATATACTGAAACATCAAAGATCTTTTTAATAATCTTCTTTGATGGTGAAAGATATTGCTGCATCAAAAATATAAAAAGAGAAAATGATAACTCTTGGTTCTGGATTCTTTGTACCTGCTGTGTTTTACATAATTCTTTACATTACAGGTAAAACACTATACTTTTTACTATTTTGACTACCAAGATAATAAGCTCTGTTGTAGGGTGAAAGTGCATGGAACACAATACTGTACTTTTCAGCATGACCCCAACTATCCACTAGCAAAGTATCAATCACATCTCACATACACCTACTGTACATGCAAATCACAGTACTATCAAGCATTCATATAAAAAATTAAGAAACAATGATTTTTGTAGTGGATAACTTTCACCAAAACAAAATTGTCAGAGTTTAAGCAAATACTGTAGTTCCTCTCATAGCCTAAAAAAAAAATAATAATAATAAAAAAAAATAAATACTGTAAATAAATAATAATTTCACTTGCCATTAGGATATATTAAAGTTTGTAAAATTTAAGCATTTTTCCATTTATTAGAGTAAAATAGCCACACACAGAAAGCATGAGATGCATGCTTCTATAACTTGTATCACCAGTACTGGCTAACTTCATACCATACCAAAATGCACCCATGTTGACCAATGATCATATTAGTTTAATAATACAATGCTATTCAGTAAAGAAAGACTTTCAACATCAAAAGCCACAGAAGCAGAGTTTTTGTTGAAAATTTTGTAAAACATCTTATAGTAATTTCATACATTACAGATACATTATTACTCAGAATATGAAGCTTCCACATAAAGTGCATGGAAGTATTGTAGTGCAGACATTCTCAACAATTCAAAAATGCATTTTAATAATCTAAATACATGTATTTTAGTTCTGTATATCTTAGAGTTTCTATTATTTCATTAACATCATTAGGTACAGTAGCAAAATTACTATTATAAAAACTCCTAAGAGCTCCGTAGTTTCGGCTACCATGGATAGTTGGGGTTTTGCTGCATGTTGAGTTATCTGTCATGTCTAAAAGAAATAATTTGCACACAAAAATAGACTGTCTAGGAAGGTCTATCTATCTATCTATCTATCTTTCTATCTATCTATATCCATACTGCTATCTCACTCTTATTTATAATTAAAATTCTAGTCTCATTCCTCTTCTCCTTGTATCTATGCAATTCTAGAGGCATCCCCTAAGTGTTAAGCACTACAAAGTGACTTTACAATTCCCCTGTGAATCTTTTAATAAACTGACACACACATTTATAGTTAACACTTTATGTCTGTCATAACCATTACAACATGTGGTGGCAAGAATCTATATATGACTGCTGCTGGTGTCAATACCGTAATATGTCTGACTCCTTAAACATAACATGAGACTACTGCTATCATTCATTTATTCCTCATCTCTTGGCAGCACCTTAACAATCATATATTGTACTGTACTTTAATTCAGTAGTTCTTAACCTTTGTGGCCCCATGATTAACAAAGAATGTTTTTTTTTTCATGCATTCCAGTTTCATTGCTGTTAATGCCTTTCCTTATTGGATAAATAAACAAACTAACACAACACTTTACAACCCCCATGGAAAACTGAAGCACCCACAGGTTAAGAACCACTGCTCTAAATGAACCAAACACCTTGGAGAAATCCATCCTCAAAATTTTACACCCTTTAGTTCTCTGATTTAAAATGTAGTAATGAAGGCCATGCACTGTAGTTGATTGTAGATGAATGAACATTCTGAGTATTTACAGCCAATCATTTTCAAATCTAAAAATACAGTGTACAGTTCATAAGTACACATCAAGTTTATGTTCCATACTAAATGAAAAACAATTATAACTGAAAATTAAAGCATGCAATTCAAAGATATAAAAGGTCAAAATCTATTAATATTTAAAAATAAAAAGTAAAACTACAGGATATGAACATTTCTATTGATAATAATAATTACTGGTATGTAAGATACAAATGACAAGAACAAAGCTAATACAGTAACTAAGAGTCTAAGAACGGTATTACCCTGAATAATCACGAGTGACAGTAAATTCTCAATGGTGATTAACCTTATCGCTGCTGGATGACAGCTGAGATCCCACACTCTACTGAGAGTGCTAATTCTAGTGTATGTGAAGCATTCTTTATTCCCTATATGTGTTTGATGTTTTGGCGAGTTCTTTTTTCACATTCTGTATGTAGGATGTTGCGTGTATGTAACAGAGTTAAAAAAATTGAAGAAAATTAAGCATATCTACCTAAAGTTACGAGTTGAAAAATAACCATAAAATAACATAAAGCTCACTGGATAAGGGAACGGTTAGTTAGAAAATGCATGACGAATATTTCAATATCCGGAGGGGAATGGTTGGAAGTATCCCAGCTTGGCCTAGCAGTGAGAGAGTTAATAATGAAGAGAGACAAGTCTCACATAATGCAATAGCAAGATAACTCAGGAAAAGTAATATAAAAAGTAATCCTGTTATTAATTTTACATGAAATGGGCAATCTACACATACTATGCTTAAATTTTGTGCACTTTTATTTTTAGATCTGAAGATGAATTCCAATAAACAATACCTCACTAGTCAGGAATCAAACCCTGGACCTCTGCATGTGAACAGGGATTGCTACCATTGCAATCCCTGTTCACATGCAGAGGTCCAGGGTTCGATTCCCGACTCGTGAGATATTGTTTGGAAATGGAAGTCATGGTGCGATATGGACTAATGAGATATGTGGTAATAAGTTCAATTTCTTTCTGTAGTGGTGTTGGCCTCCCTCATTGTACACTCAGCAATAAGAGTACCCAGTCAGGTGTGCTTGCCAATGGTGGAATTACCCATTAACTAGAGAATGTTAAAAATCAGATCAACACCTGGAAAGTCACCTCACACAATAGAAGGAATATACTTGTATGCATGGAGAAAAAAATAATTGCATGTATACAGTATGAGTGTGTGTCTCCTTATACATAAAGTATTGTGTGTGTGTGTGTGTGTGTGTGTGTGTGTTGCTAATAACTACTGTAGATATAATCAGCAATTATCCTTTAATAATGAATTAATGCACTCATCATTTGAAAGTTTAAAATTTTAATTAGACTGAAAAATTAAAACCATAAGTAAAAGGACAGCAACTCTGCTGTCACTCTTATAAAGGGCACTTTTATTCTTTTAGCCAACATCCTGCTACATTCCCCAAATATGTAACTGTATATTTTCAGCCTTCTGGCTGCCAAGCTCTTTCAATAAACCGTTAATTATTATTATTATTATTAAGTCCTTGATGAAACCAGGTACAGTATACACCTAAAGTTAGAATAAGGTAAATCACACAGTATTTACCAGGAGAGTTATGTCTCTATACAACTGAACAATTCTAGTTTTAAAATTTTCATAAGCAGTAAATATCCATAAATAAATGTTTTGGAACTGTGTCTGAAACCTAACTCAGATTCAAGTACAGTATAATCTATGTCATTGTACAGCCAAACATTATTACAGTACTGTACTGAGATGCTGATCCCCATTTTTTATATTCAGCCAACTTTTGTATTTTATGAATCCACATGTTGTAAGGCCATTGAAGCCAAGTGACTTAGGACTGCAGTTTACCACCCTATGACAACTGGTACCCATCCATACAGGGTCTAACATGTGAGGCAGCATGTGGCTATTGTTACATTACTTGCCTGTAAGACTAAGACATTGCCTACACCAGGTCAGTATATACAGTAATTATATACGAGGTCTGATCGAAAAGTATCCGACCTTAAGCAGGTGAAAAAAAACCAAGCTTACTTACTGAGTTCAGACTATAATCCCCTTCAAAGTAGGCCCCTTGGGACTCAACACACTTAGCCCAGCGATCCTTCTATTGCTGGAAACATTTTGTAAAGTCAGTTTTTGGGATCGCCAACATGATCTTCGTCGCACTTTTCTTTATTTCATTTGTGTCCTCAAATCTCGAACCCTTCAGCGGCATCTTAATTTTAGAAAACAGCCAAAAGTCGCAGGTAGCCATGTCAGGAGAATAGGGAGCCTGCCGACCTGTGTGATCCTATGTTTGGCCAAAAAATCCTGGACAAGATGGGATGAGTGGGCTGGAGCATTGTCATGGTGGAGCTGCCAGTCCTCCGCCTTCCCCAACTCTCGTCTCTTGCGACGCACTGCATCCCGTAGGCGACGGAGAACTCCCCGGTAGTACTCTTTATTGATTGTTTGGCCTTCTGGAGCATACTCATAATAAACAACACCCTGATAGTCGAAAAAACTGTCATCATGAGCTTCACCATGCTCCGAACCGGCCGTGCCTTCTTTGGCCTTGGTGATGCCGGTGACTTCCATTGTGACGACTGAGCTTTTGTTTCTGGGTCGTATCCATACACCCAAGACTCATTACTGGGCTAAGTATGTTGAGTCCCAAGGGGCCTACTTTGAAAGGGATTAAAGTCTGAACTCAGAAAGTAAGCTTGTTTTTTTTTTCACCTGCTTAAGGTCGGATACTTTTCGATCAGACCTCATGTATGTATATATATGTATATATATGTATATATATATATATATATATATATATATATATATATATATATATATATATATATATATATATATATATATATATATATATATATATATATATATATATATATATATATATATATATATATATATATATATATATATATATATATATATATATATACAGCACTGTATATATAAAATGTGTTAATGATATATGAATATAGGATTTTGTACTTAAGAAATTTCAGTAGAAGAATTTTCCATTCATACTATTTACTTACATTTACAGTCATTGAGAAAACAATACAAACTATATTTGCTATGACCTCAGATTGAGCTGGAGTAGGCAAGAGAGAATTTTTACTATTTGCATGGAGAGGTAAAAGTTTTTTTACACTTCATATAGGTTACCATGATATAACTGTATTTTTGTATTATTTTTTTTTTTGCTATTATTCTGAAGGTCTTATTGAAATTTGATGTGATGCCAAAATTGACAGTAAAGAATTTCACACACTTTTAAGTCCCAAGCCTCATGAACACTGATAATTTTTTCTTTTGTAAGAAATATGCCCCCGCCAAGGTGAAAATTTTAACTTAAAGGATGAACGCATGTATGGATGAACGAACGCATAGACGGACGGACACACACATGGAAAATGCAAACATTTATAGCCCCCCTCCTAGCCGATGGTGGCGGGGGCACAAAAACATATTGACAGCAAATCTCAATATGGGAATATATCAATACTACTAAAGACATCCAAAAATAGCCAGTGGCAGTGGCACAGGGTTTCCATTGTTGATAAAAAGTAATGTTTTGATTTCAGTGACTCAAGGGTTCATAAAGGAAGTTGTGAACACTGATGTTCCCTCATCATTACTTACTGTAATATCAACAAGTAAACTTTAAAGGCTCTGGTCAAGTGCCATAAGCAGGTCTGCCCCCTGCAGCAGTGTGCAGTTGTTAGCAGGAGCATTCACCTCATAGTCCTGCTGTGTTAGATCCAGCAGATTAGGAATTGTGGTCTCTGGATCCACGAGCAGTAGTGGATCCTGTAATCTCCCTCGTCTCATTGAATTCTGCCTGGACTGCCCATTTGCGCTGGGAGCTAATTTGAATGCAAAACGACCAGTTTGCATAAGGGTACCTGGTCTTCCAGCTACTAATCTCAATTTGGGGTATGCTCTCAAAATACCATCAGTATGTAGACTCCCATTTCCAGTTAACAGCATAGTGGCCATTTTTTCTCTGGGTAGACGTAGTGACGCTGGAGCAAGACCACTACTGCCTGGTTGGGGCTCTCCAATGATGATATGGCCATCATCACTCACATTCTGCATTTTAAAGGAGAAAACAATTAATCAATAATATTTGTAGCATGAGTGTGTGTGTGTGTGTGTGTGTGTGTGTGTGTGTGTGTGTGTGTACTCTATTTGTTGAGAGCTTGTATTGATTGTGTGGAGAGAGATAGAGACAGAGAGAGACTGTATAATATATATTTTTTTTAGTATTACAATCTTGTACAGTACAGTACAGTATTTAGTATAGTGCTAGTTGGCTAAAATTAAGAACAAACAAATGCACACACTATTTACTGATAACACGTACTATATCTTGCATTTATTTCTATCACATGTAAAGTAATACAGTACTGTATATGCGTATCACAACTTTGTCAAAAATTCAGCAGCTGAACCCTGGGGTCATTACCAACCATGAATGTCATATGAACATGGATCTGATTCACACCGGTTCTGGAAGTCTAGTTACATATAAAACTATGAATGAGAGATGCATTTTTCCACTCAGCATCAGGTGCTATAACCTCTCCTTTTCCTTCAAAATGTTGCTTTTGCATTAGAAGTTTCATCGCATCAACTTACATTTGATGCAGTGAGTTTGCCATTAGGGTGTGAAATGACTCAAATGCAAGCTGGTGCATCAGTACTACCTACACTAGCAAAGAGTGTGTGCAGGATGTATGCATGTGTTGCCATAGTGGTACACCATCAATCAAATTAGCTGTGAACGTGCCACTTATATTCTGAAATGAGGAATATGCAGATATGCACTTTATGTTCAGAGTCTGTGATGGAAACATGAATGATGATGTTGAGGAATATCAGTTGATCTTTGTGTGTTTTGCAATGTTCACCAACAGTTGCAGGAAAGTGGATCCTTTCCCAATGCGGTGATAGTTGCTAAACATCTCATATGACTAAATGCAGACAATGAGGAACACTTCCCATAAATGGTACAACGCAATCGACTGAATTCCACACATGAGTTTGGTAAATGTTACACACCAAAGGACTGTATCCATATCACATCCAGTAAGGTCAACAAGTGACATGATTTACTCGCGACAGAGTAAACCATACCAGAAACTCTCCTGTATGGGCATGTGGCAATCCACAAGGAACAGTAGAAAGTAATTACCAGTGTCGGTTTTCTGTAGACTTGACTAATTACCTCAACCAGAAGTTCCTTGATCATTGGATTGGCCGTAGTGGTCAGCAGAGTTGGCCACCTGTTAGAATTCCACGTGTAGAGTTACATGAAGGACCTGGTATTTGCACACACAAGGCAGATACCAGAGATGAACTGCAGTACTGCATCAAATATCTGATGCTGCAAGACGAGTGAAGGACCCCGAGGTTCTTTGTAGAATTACACAATTCAACAGTTCATGGTCTAATGAACCAGGGTGTACGTGTGCAAACTTAAGGCAGCCATTTTGAACAATTATTAATTTTAACAGTATTATGCAACACTGTAACCATTATACAAACTGTACAAAGTTAGAAAATGTTCCAATGAACAACCTCATAATTTTCAAATCATATTCAATTCCTTATTTTAACATCTACCCCTAGTTTCTGGAAACTGCATTATTTCCTCCCTGGAATTTGCTTGCAGCCCGGGATAAAAAATTCAGAGGGAGTTTCTGGAATTTTCTTAGAATTTTTTAAAATGATGCATTATATTTCAACCTTAGAATTTGTTCCCAGACCAAAAAATTTTTTTGGGGGAAAGTCTCTGGAATTTTTATCAGAATTTTCCAGAAAATGCGCCTAATTTTTAACTCCGGGAAATAATTTTCAAATCTGGAAATTTCCGGAAAAAATTTAAATTCCGGCGAAGTGAGATTCCGGTTAATCGACATACAATGATCCCTCGGTTAACGAGCGCCTCGGTTAATGAGATTTCGGTTAACGAGTTACCTTCCTTAAGATTCTTAACTTCGGTTAACGAGCAATCCCTCGATTAACGAGTTTCTTACGAGCCGACCTGAACATGTTTTCACTTGCATTTGGCGGTCCACCAGCTGTAGTATTAGTCCGCCAATACAGTAATCGGTTCTAGGGCTTAAATTCCTTACCATTTTAGCAAATATCAAGAAGTTTATACTATTCAATAATTTTAAAAGTTTAATATTAAATTTTTTAGTCATTTCAACAATTATTGAACATAATTGAAGGTAATGAAACTAGTTTTATGCGTGCCATCCAGCCTCTCAACACACCATACAGGCGTGTCTTTGTGTCTTTTCAGTGGAGGTAACATCTTGCTTGAGACTTTCTTCAACTAAACGCTTATTTTCTGTGTTTGCAAGCAAATTATTGGTCATTTTGAAATTTATTTTTCATATTGACAATATATAATGCAGTGCAGTGTTGATTTAAAGAAAATAATCTTGAATTACACCAAGAGAACTAAAATTTAATGGGTGAAATGGCACCATGGGGTGACTTCTCTTCCACCCCAATGCCTTCTCTTCTCTCTTCTCCTCCACCCCCATTCTAATTCCCATCATCATCATCATCATCCAGGAGCCTTCTACATACACACCTCAAAGTAAGTGTACTTTTCTACTTTTTGTTGAATTTAGGCAATTTTTGGTGAGCTGGAACCAATTACCCAAAAACCCATTGAAACAATGGTTTCGGTTATCGAGCAACCTTCTAGAATGGATTGTGCTCGTTAACCAAGGGACCACTGTACTGTATTACTGTGTGTGTGTGTGTGTGTGTGTGTGTGCACTAAAATGTTTGAAGGGCATCTTAAAGAAGAGATAAAAACAACTAGTTAACTAACTTTATAAGTCATAAGAAAAATCAACAAAAGCTAAAATATATCTTATTTAAAACACCTACAATAAAATAGCAAATGATTAAAAAAGCTTAACATAAGATTAAAAAGCAAAATGCACACAAAAAATACAGGGACACTGCAAGCACCAAGTAATATTGTAATAATTACTGTATATTGAAAATTGTTGGTAACTCAGATTCAACAAGCATAACAACTACTCTTTACCAGTCAACACAAATATTTCATGAATTAAACAAACTGGTAACTGAAGAACATTTAGCATCATTCTCTTTAGGCAACACAACCACCTCGTTCATCAGTGTGGCATCATGCCTTTCTTTTAACTTTAAATAGTAACATGCTTTAGCCATGCTCAGTATATGTACTTCGATTTGATATTTTAATTCTGAGATACATGCATAAACGTATATGGCACTCTTAACTGATGCATAATACAACAGTAATTCTAAAGAAAACAAAATCCAAAACCTAAATTCTTACAGGGTGCTAAATGTTCTAAAAAATAAACAAATCAAACAACTTATGACAAACACTAGGTTTGAATTTGGAAGATTGTGCAGTGATCCCTGTACCTTTCCCCCCTTAGCCTCATCACTCAACTGATGTGGACCAGGGGATGAAGAGATGCTTCTAGAAGGCGTACCAGCAGGGCTTGCTGGTGCCGACACAGAGTATCCAGCAGTGTCGTCACGTCCACTCACCAGCAGATTACGAAGCACTGAATGGCTCTTGTTTGTGATGGAATTTTGTGAGGCTGAAATACCCCCACCTGGGCGTCCCCCTCGAACTGTGATTGGTTCTTTGCTGACTAATAACTGTTGCATGGTTGGGGCATTTGGTGTTGACAAGAATCGTATTCCCCCAGACTGTTGCTGCAACAGTCCGTCTTGATTCTGTTGTTGTGCTTTAAGTTGCTGCTGACATGTTGGTGAACACAGCTTTTTGTGGTTAAGAAGGGGAGATGAATTGGGCGAATGTACCCGTTTGATAGGCAGAGACACATGATGGGCATCAACAGTGAGTAATGGAGGTGGTGGGTCTACTGTCTCCTGCACCATCACAGGTGGAGGATCAACTAATAACGTACTGCCTGATGACCCATCCAATTCATCTGTCATAAAAAAACCGCACATGATTATTATAGTAACTAGGGTTTGTACATGAAATTCTTAAAGAGAAATAATTGCTTGTACTAATATTTGAAGTTTTTTAAATATACTGTATATCACAGCAATATTATATGCTATTCTTATGAGTTTGGGGGAAATTAATAATATAATGCAAAGTAACTGGATTTTGGGGAATTTGCATGTAACATATATAAACATACCTTTCCCTCCAGAATGTCCTGGAAGAACTTTATTTGGATCAACAAAATTCCCTCCACCATCAAGAAACTTGTTTTGCTGATACTGACTCCTTTGAGTACTTGTGGACCGCTCTATTGGCAACCTCCTTCCTACGCCAGTTCCAGTAATGGGAGGATCTGTGTCTCGCAACAGCTGGGCCAAGTTAGAATCCTCTTTATCGTTGATAATGTGAAAACACTTGAAATCCCTGAATGTACAAAATTAAGCATCAAAATCTGCGAGGAAATAATTTCTATAAAATAATAGAATTACCATACAAGTAAAAACATACAGTACCTGTTAAGGATAGAATGCGACCAATTTGAAAATGTTTGATATGTTGAACAGTTGCAAAACATTATTACAGACTTTATCAAGTGGTTTCTAGAGGTAGCACAACTAGAAGCTGTACTAACATTCGTGTGCTTTCCTTTTGATGAAGATACTGATATTAATGAAACTGTGTCAAAAATATCCAAATGAAAGGAAAGGTGCCATGTACTTGACATTAGTTTTGGGATGAACACTGATCAACTCTGTCAGATGACCTTCTGAATGACTGCCTGAGGCCAGCAATCAGCACCTACAATCCTGACTACACAAAGTTGGCTGACACAATGCAGTGCTAATCATCACATCAGTAAGGTAAGCATGGCAGTCTAAATTAATGCTTATTTTCTTATTAGAGAAGATGGGGTTAGGTTGGTGGATTGTGTTAGGTTGACTCTGGTAATAGCACCTCAACTCTCACCAGAATCTGGCCACCCCTGATCTACAAAGTACAACTTGGAAAAGCAGAAAAGGAAACTTATCCGGTAATTATCTTTATGCATAAAAATGTCTTCATATACTGTACTGTATTGTGTTTGTTTAGTGAAATATTGTAGGTTCCCTAAGAGTTATAAATATTTCCAATACTGTATTCTAAAAATACACTGCACATAACAAAAACTTAGAACCATCTTGATTTGCAAAGAAGAGAAAGGTGAAATTCCTATAAATTTTAAAATATCAGTATGAAAACTTTTCTTTTGGGAGGAATGGCCGTGAGAGTAACACAAAATTGCTTGAGAACACTGGATTACGAGTGCTCAACTATGACTGAGCATAGCAAGGATGCATAAATTTTATATAGCTATATTTAATTTATCCTATTATTTTATCTATTATACATTTATTATATATTATTGTTATATTACTTGTTTACCTATCAAATTTTGATATGTTTCAAATTTTTATAAAAAGAAATTCATAACATTATGGGGCAACTTAAGCTAAACCTGTCCTATTGGTAATAATGCTGGAGTTATGGAGTTCCTAAATCATAAGGGTCACATCCTCACTGAAAGACCTCCAATAACCTATAAAGTCATGTTCCTGTAGATTAAAATTAATTGCATTATCATTTAGAATTTTTCTGGTGTCCAGGTTCTGGCAATGCCAAAGCCTGCAGACAGTATACACACTACACAACAAGGTAGACCTTAGTGCCTACTGGGCTTCATTATTGAATACACCTTAGCAGTGGATTTGTTATCGCCACCCGCAATTGTGCGCGCCGGCCACATGTTAAGTGGAGAAACTGTTTACAACTCAGAATAGCTTACTAAGCAAGATGGATCTGGTAGCAGCTGTGTGACTGCCTGAAGGACAGTCTATCGCCTTCTACTGTAAAGGCAAAATCTTTATTCTCGTCAGCCAACATCTTCCTGCAGGACATTAGATTTGTTCTCATTGGTCTAACCCTAGACCCCAAAACGTGAGTGTAATTGTGAACTGTTGAATCCTCTGAGAACTCTAAATAACTTTAATAAGTGTAATTATGTACTGCATATTGATCGTATTATTCAAACTGTGTCCTGATGTACCAGCAGTTGTTATATGTGAATTGTATTCTACAGGTTTTGACCGAAATATATTCATCGCGTCAACAACAATGGTCTTATTGTCCTGCACAAACCAAAATCGCTATTACAGGATTAATTAACTATTACACAAAACAAGGAACTACTGTATCGAACTAACCGGCTGGATGATCCTTGGTGTTTGGTGGTTATGAGGGGCTCAGAGTCTGCCCCCCACAGGAGATCATCTGGGCTAAGCATTAATAACTCATCGTTGAGAGGAATGAATGGAGCTCTCATTTCAAACTCATCAGAGTCCATGTTTTGCTCTTCAAGCTAAAAAATGAAAACAAAGTAAATAACACTAAAGTGATCAAGATTCTTGGTGGTGGTAGTAGGAGGAGAGGATATAAAGAGGAACATTAAGTGTAAAATAATGAGGTGTTTTTAAGACTTTTATCTACTTGGTGCAATTTTCTTAAGGAATAGCTGTATGAAATAAATTTTCATTTCAAAAATGTTTGAAATCTAAAATACAATGTAACAAAAATTAATACTGTACTGTACACCTAAAGACCAGCTGAAATTTTTTTATTTCTTAAATAGTTATGCTTAAGATTTCATTGTACTGAACACAAAACAAAAACACAACAAACTTAAATCTTCCTATTTTAATGATTTTTTTGCATTACTTTGGGGGCCTGCAATATACAGGGCCTACCAGTGTGCTGCACCAATTGCACTTATATTAATTATGTCTCTGATTGTGTGTCAGATAATCCTAGCTTCAGCTCACCACATATCTTCCAGATTCATACAAGTGTTTGTAACATGCCAGAAAATCAACACAATTATGTTAGGCAATAACATCACATAATAAAATCTACAAACTGACACAGTGTGAAAACATTTGCCATTTTTACACTGACACAACATCCTGCCTATTCCCAAGAAAGTGGTGGTGGCTCCTTTGATATCGGATCAAGAAAGGAGGCTGAGAGTATGACAATGATGAAACCTCTGTTTTAAAAGTGACAATAATCATGGGAGATGATCTTTGTCATTGGGTCACAATCTAAACTTTAATATTGAACAACCTCCACCCCCACCCTACAAAAACTCCATTATTGAGAGAACAAAGTTTTCTCTTAAAAAGAGAGGCATTAAAGTAAATTTCAGCAGTCATAGTGTAAAGGAACTAGTCTTGCCAACACCTATGTCAAAAATTCTTTTTTTTTTTTTTGCAAAAATATGTTTTTGCATGACAAAAAATCAATATTAAAAAGAAATCTTTTCATACTTTGAGATCCAATTTGCCTATTGTGTCTGTTGATGAGCCTGTTGTATGGCTCTCATCCAGCTGAGTGAAGAGGCTCTCTGTTGTTGTTCTGGGACGGCTACTCCCAAATATAACCTGCAAAGATCATTTGAGGAAATTAGAAGATGAACTAATAAACAATAAAAGCAGGTAAGATAAGAATACTGAAAAAGATTGATTCAGGAAGAATCAAAAGGAGCAAGAGCTAGAAGAGTATCTACCAGGTACTGTAAATAGTAAAGGCCATTCTATGTTTAGTCATCAAGGTGATTTAACTCTACCTCTCATACTTGCTTCACATTTAGTACACAGGTTGTAGTCACTGTGATACAGGGATAAACAGTGTGGGAAACCTGAGGGCTTTTCACATTAATAAGTACAATACTTTATAACAAGGGTCAGTGGACCTTGGAACCATGAACTAAATTAATTGTTAAGTACAGTACAGTACTGGGACAATACTTATACACTGGGAGTTTCGACTCAATGATCATTAACATGTACACTACATAAAAGGTACCAGTGACCCTGGTCCATGCAAATGTGCAATGTAGTATATTTTCTGGTAAGATCATCATTGTTGATTATTTTTATGGCTTTTGTATACCAACATAATACATTTTCGAACTAACTCACACTGGTCGAAGTGCCATTGCTGGCTAGGAACTCACTGTCTGGACTTTTATTTAATTTTTTGCCAGTGTATTAGGTCTTACAATGTAACCTTCTTTATTAAAAGTTACTGTATTGTGATAATACCTGTACTTTATTTTACTAACAAAGACTGTGTGGCAGCAGTTAACACAATATGTTTGTCTAAAATCATAAGTACCACTTAGAAATTTGTTCAGTACTGTACTGTAATGTAATGTAATGTCAGAGCAAGAGCTGTGCTGCCCCAAGCAGAAGAGCAGTATGCCTGGATCAGATGTATTTGCTCCATATAATGTTATTTGTAGCCAAAGTCTACAAGATAAGACTGGAAAGTACACTGTACAGGTTTTTATGCTCAGCAACAAAATATTCTTAGCTTCATCATATAAAACCAGTTTCCCTTTGGAATCTGGCATGAAGGGTGAACACAATCTAATTTTCTTAACTTCTTTAACCCATTCATTACAGCATGCAAATAAATAAATTAGCCCCTAAAAATGAAGGGTTTTTATGAGTGGTTAATTTTTTCTTACCATTTGAAAGAGCATCTTCCCGAGTCCAAAAAACAACTAATAACACACATAGCAACAAGCACGTAGTAATTGGTGTCATTGCTGCCAGATGCATGATTGCCTAAACACCTTATATGCAACAAATAATAAATATTTCAATTGCTTTCATGACAAATTTTCTCTTGCTATATGAAGGAACATACTTCTCTGAACCCAATAAATAAATAAATATATATATATATATATATATATATATATATATATATATATATATATATATATATATATATATATATATATATATATATATATATATATATATATATATATATATATATATATATATTTTTATTATATTATATATACTATTTATATATATATATATATGTATATATATACCATTATATAAATATATTATATATATATATAATATGATATATATATATATATATATATATATATATATATATATAGTCAAGTGCATACGCGGTACCCTATTACCTACGCTATATATATAGTGCATTATCATTGACGTATAGTATCGGACTGTGATTGGCCATGCATCCCTACCTCCCTCCGCTGCTAGCTGTAATTGGTTTAAAGTAATATGACGTGTCCACCCGGGGGAGGGAGGGAGGGAGGAAAGACGACGCTTGACCTAGCCGCGGCAGTTTCATCCCTCCAGGCCACACCGTGTAATCATGCATCCATTGTTCTGTAAAATGGCTTCCGCCGGACCACCGCACCCCAGAGAGAAACCTTTCCTTACCTGGACCCAGCCGCCCTAAGCCAAAGAAGACACGACGTTCCTTAAGCTACGTAAGTACAAGATCATCCAAGAGTTGGAGAAAGGAACAAGACAGGTTGATTTGGCGCGCCAGCATGGTGTGAACGAATCTACGATCCGGACGATAAAGAAGGATGCAGCCAAGATAAAGGAGCACATGAACATCACAAAGTCTACAGGTGCTTCTATGATCAAGTATTTCCACAACCAGGTGCTTCTCAAGACAGAAAAATTACTTGTGAGGTACTTGGTGCGTCAGGCGCGACGGAACATGGCGGTGGACACGCGCTCTGTTAAGGAGTACGCACGTGAACTGTATGCTGCAGTGTCACGAAAGATGGGAATTACAGAGCCCAAACCCTTTAATGCTTCCTCTGGGTGGTTACAGAGGTTTAAGAAGAGGAACAAGATCACCAATATCAACATTGGTGGTGAAGAAGCTAGTGCTGACCGTGTTGCGGCTAGGGAATTTCCTCCGTTTTTACGTGAGATTATGGAGGAAGGACAGTACACCGACGACCAGGTGTTTAACATGGACGAATCTGGTCTTTTTTGGAAAAAGCTACCTTCCAAGACCTTCGTTGTGAAGAATGCCAGCAAGTGTCGGGGCCGGAAGTTGCAGAAGGAGCGCATCACCGTCCTGTTTACCACCAATGCCTCCGGTACCTGTAAGCTCAAGTTATCGGTGATCCACACAGCACGCAAGCCGCACGCCTACAAGAGCATGGACATGACCAAGCTAAATGTCCACTGGCTGACCGCACGTAAGGCGTGGATGTTCTCTACACTGTCCCTCTCCTGGTTTGATGACTGTTTCGTTCCCGATGTGAAGAAATTCTGTGAGCAACAGAATGTGCCATTCAAGATTTTGTTGCTACTGGACAACGCACCAGGACACTCGCCCTACTGTTAGATCGTCACCCCAACGTAAAAGTGGTCTTCCTTCCTCCCAACACTACGTCTATATTACAGCCCATGGACCAAGAGTTAATCTGTAATGTAAAAGCTGCATTCTCTACTAAAAAATTCAAGCTCCTGAACGACTACACCAACACCAGGGAAGAGTTGCGTAACCTGAGTGACACCACCACCGATAGCAAGAGCGAAGACGACGAGGATCAACAGTTGGCAGAGCAACAAGTACTTTTAAAACAATTCTGGAGAATATTCAACATCAAGAAAGCTGTGGACTTCTTGGTGGAGGCATGGGAGCAGCTGTCTGTAGCAACTGTTCGTCACGCATGGAGACATGTGTTGCAAGGCATTCCGGCCGTTAGGCAGAGTCAATCTGTGACTGGTGAGGTTCAGACTGTTGCAGTAGCAGTGGACCTTGCCAGAGAAGCTGCGCAGAGTGTTACAGCTGCAGGCTTCTCCGAGACCACCAACGACGACATCCTGGAGGTGATAAGGGATCCTGATGTGACTACCGACGAGATGGTAGATGATGATGACGTCAGTGAAGAGGCAGGTGGTACGTCATCCCAAGAAGAACACCGCTTATCCCATAGTAATATTAGGGGTGCCATCGAGTGTGTCGAGAAAGTCAAGCTCCTCCTTTCCGACGACCCTGACGCAAACAGGTATGAAATCTTCACTACCCAGCTGTTGCAGACTATGGAGCCCTACTTCAAGGTTTATCACGACAACATAAACACCAAAATTCATTTGGGGGAGAAATTTGAGTACTGGTAACAAAATTAAAGAAAAAGAGAAAGGTGTACCAAGATACTTTGTAGACTTAAAAAATGTACTGTATATGACAGGGTACCACATGAAATAGTAAAGTGAGCAATGCAAAATTTAGGAGTCGAGGAGTGCTTTATTTGAGTGGTTATGGCATTGTATGAGTGCTCAAGAACTTCTTAGAGTAAAAAGGTATAGGAGTGAATGTGGCAAAAAAAAAAGTAAGCATGTGAAGTCTGGGTGAGGGACCCATGGTGGAAAGTGGAAAATGGCCATGTGCTGTTTGTAAGGAAGGTGTTGACAGTATAATTCAATAGTATGCAGTGAGTGTAGAAGGTGGAAACACAAGATGTGCTTTTTTGTTTCTACTAGAGGTGCACATCCACACAATAATTTGATATTGATACCCGAAACAAAACCCCTTAAGCACTGTGAAATAAAAAAAATAGAGGTTAGGACTGGTCTTGGCTCCTCAGCCTTAAGCCTAAACAAGCTTAGGTTATAGACACAGATATAAGAATAAAAATATATACAGTAAAGAATATAAAAATATATAAAATTTAAATACAAATTATTAAGTTGCTACATTAAACATGTTCTTTCTTCACAAAACTTTTCTGTACAACTCAACACTTTCACCAGCTACAAGAAAGTGTCTTAATGTCTTTAGCATAGGAGGATTAGTCCCTCAACCTGGAGCATTTTAGAACCCGAGTTTTCTCCTCCTCGTACACGTCACCTAAATGATGTTTAAGTACTCTAATCATAACTAGGAATCATCCAGTCCTACTACAATCATGACTCTGCTTGTCCTCACACAACTCATAACATCTTGGTTCAGCTGGAGAATCTGAGATAAGAGACTCTCCCTCACCCACACTATAGTCCAAACTTGGCTCCTAAAAAAGTATATCTCCCAAAGCCACTTTAGGAGCACCTGTGGGCAATAATTATTGCCTTATACTGTAACGATGTGAAGAGCTATTTCCTAAAGTTTTTCAAGTAGAGGGATTTACCGTACAAATCCAATTAAGCTGTACATACCTACGTACTTATACACCACCTGATTAAGTGCTGTGTTGTACAGGGAAGTTACGTGGAGAAATAAGATAAGTTTCCTATCATTGTCTTAATGACTGAAAAAAAAAAGTCGGAAAATGATTTGAACCATCTTTATATGCTCACATACCGTATTATGTTTCCTTTCCTGGGTAGGAGAAAATGCAGCTTGACTTAACAGAGGTTTGGGGGATTCTGGAGAGTTAAGTCCACAGTCTGATGAAGGAGTATGGCAATCACTTTTGTCTTCCACTATCTTCCCTCCACTTAAACTGATGAAAAAATAAAAGAACTAAAGTTTGAAATCCTTTTGTGACCTGTGAAAATCCCACCACAAAACACTCTCTGCTGATCATCAGAGAAGTCAAATAGTTTAGATGGACAAGGCTGGATAAAAACATATGCTACAAGGAGCACTCCCCACCTGCTTGGTATCAGATTCTTAGTTTCCACAAATCAATGGTTGGCTTGAAGCCTCAAGAGGATTAGGGTTAGGCTGTCAAAAGGATTGATTCTGGCTAATTAGCTCTTTCAATTCAAACCTAAAACTGCATAGTCATAAAATGAAGTTCAAACATTTACTAAATCAGTTCCTGCCTGTTTACAATCCCACTAAGGGAGGTGGAAGGGTTACTAAGGCACTTGTTTCTTTTCCTCAGTCATAAAATGATATTTCTTTTACTTCAGTCTTTCCTTTATGACCTATGACTCTTGCAAATGATCTTCCTTGCTTACTTCCTAAAGCCACACTATAAAGATTATAGCTCCCCATGTTAAGAAATCTGGAGATGAAGATTTTATCACAGGACCACGAATATCTAATGGTTGGATTACTGGTATGCAGCATTGGCATGTAACTAGAGACAAGATTCATCAAAGGGAGGAACACAGTCTCTTCTTATCCACACATAGTTTTTAAAAGTAACCAAGAAGATAATAACTTCCCCAACAATGACCTTACATTATTACATCAAAGAGAAATTTATGAGAATTTAAATAAAATTATCCCAAACAATCATTAATAATTACTGTACTTTACAGTAATGCATTACATTAAAAGACGTACATGCTTTTCCTTAGAGAAAAAAGGGGGTTTGGTATAAATTAAAGGTTTTGCTTACCTGTTCATGCATTTAAAGCTAGTATTAAGTTTGCTTTCATCATATAAGTATTTTGGGATATCTTCTTGCTCTTCACTGTTATCAGGAACTGGGCTGGAGATCTGTACATTGAAGCTTTCAATAGGCATCTGATCGTCAATGGTGAACATATTGTCCACGTCATGGATCAGTGTGGACACCTCCTGAAGCATGCATGTGTCATCCTGGTCATGGATGGAGATAGGTACTTCTAAGAGGGGCACACATGTGTCACCACCCGAGGGTGCCAAGTGGGTTAGGTCCTCAGGCTCCTCTTTCAGCACTAAAAATAAAAAAAATATAAAAAATAAATAAATTCAACTTAACTGTTGATTAAATTTAAAGTCACTGGGTTTCATATACAGCTTGTAAGACAACTTGTTTAAAAGTGTCAAGTACACCATGACTTTGCATTATCTATACACAGTACATTAAGAGAATAACATGCTATCAGTGTCTTTAGTTATTTAAAGACTGAAGCAATTATACTTCTTGCCCCAGAAGCACATCACATACTGTATTAGTTAGGGTCTGCAGACATACCCTATCCTGAACACTAAGCGGAAGGATCTGACTTACAAAAAGGGATGGAACAAATATACTATTCTTATGATGAAATTTCTAAAATTAAATCTCATTTAGAAAAAATACCTTCTTAAGAGAAAACTGTATTAAGATTTATGCAAAGACCGGCTCAAGAAAAGTGGTACACTGTACAGTGCTGTACTTCAGGACATAATCTGTGATATGCACAGTACATTACTTTATTTAACAGTGCTGTACTTCAGGACATAATCTGTGATATGCACAGTACATTACTTTATTTAACAGTGCTGTACTTCAGGACATAATCTGTGATATGCACAGTACATTACTTTATTTAACAGTGCTGTACTTCAGGACATAATCTCGGATATGCACAGTACTTTATTTAAGAAAAGCCGTTTCATAAAAAAAAAAATCATGCTTACCAGTACATTTTTGATCATCATCTTCAAATGTAAGATATCCCTTATTCATATCTTTTGTGCGAGGAGTGAAGATCTTGAATGTGGCAGCAACAGGTGGACGTGATGGGGGTGGTGGGTTGACACGTGCCCCTGTACTACTAGCCACCTCCCCAACCTGTAGAAACAATATTAAATTTACAATTAAAAATTAGAGAGCAATGAGTAGAAATCAAGATGGAAGATGATGCAAAATTGCAATGTTACCTTTCACTCTTTCTTCAATCAGATAATATACATTTTAATTATGATACAAATTTGTGTAGTGCACTAACACCACAGTAGTTAATGGTAACAAGAACTTGAAGAACTGCAGTGTAATGCTAAAACATAACCAGCCATTGTATTGTCAGAGAGAAAACACCAAAAACTTTAAATTTAATCAGTTTCAAATCACACTATTTCACTTTCCATCACAATGAAGTAACAATATACAGGTACAGTAGTACAGACTGTACAAGGAATTGTATTACAGGTACAGTATTGTGCTTACAACACAGTACTTACTGTACAAAATTATAATTTCTTGATTTATGAAGTTAAATGGTTTCTTCCAATTTGATAAATCTTAATATTCTTTTGAAAATTTTGTACAGGTTGTACCTCTCTAGTCCGGCAACCTCGGGACCTGACCGGTGCCGGACCATGGTGCCGGACCATGGAAATTCACCCTTTTCCTGGTTAGATAGTGACTTGTGCTTATGCCTGGAAGCACTAGCACCACTTTCTCTGCGTCATGGTCTCTTTGAAGACATATTGAAGGGTTAAATGTCGTATGGTAGCTTCTCAAATTTCGCGAAATTCACCCTTAACGTGATTTTATTGGAACACACAAAAAAATAAAATAAATAAATAAATAAAAATTTTGACGGCGGAAACTTGAATTTCGACGGGTTTGAACGGCCAGCCAACGTGCAGACGACGTGCATAATCGTGTAAACAGGGTCATTTCTCTTATGTACAAAAGATTCATTATTGTTTATTACTGAATGTCTTTTTTATTGAATTAATGTTTATATGTGCAAAATGAGCAATACAATTCATTAATAATACGTAGAACATTAAAACACATGAGGAAATGACACAGCATTGTTTTCGTTGATTACAAAACCAGTGACTGACTGGTTCTACATATAAAACTGAAGAAAGTAAGACCTTGGTTGTAGCTGTAGTAAAATTAATATGGTTGTTTTAAGTAATGTTATTTAATGTTAATAAATGGAACAATAGAAGTAGCTAACGATAATGGTAAAGAAAAAGAGAGATCGCATATGTAAGTGCGCATGCGCACACGTGAAAACATATCGTCATTACTTTACATAAGAATATGAAAGCAACACTTATTTACTGTTCATATATATTTTAATTAATGTTTCTGAATTTTTTTTTATTGAATTAATGTACGTGTGTGCAAAATTAACAATACAATTTATTAATAATATTAGAGGAGACGAGACGGCTGCCGGCATTGTTTATGTTAAAGCTTACGAAACCAGTGACTGATTGGTTCTACATATAAAACTGAAGAAAATAAGACCCTGAGTTTAGCTGTAGTAAAATTAATGTAAAGAATGAATATGGTTGCTTGAAGTACCTGTAATGTTATTTAATGTTAATAAATGGAACAATATAAGTAGGTAACCATTAATGGTAAAAAAAAAAGTGAGACTGCTCGTATGTAAGTGCGCACATGTGAAAATATATCGTCATTACTCTACATAAGAATATGAAAGCAACACTTATTTACTGCTCATATATATTGAAGGGTTAAATGTTGTACTCTGTATAGACAAGCAGAGAGAGAGAGAGCAGCCGAACTGCCGGATGTAAACAAACCTTAATTTCCCGCCGCGTTTTTTTTTTAAGGGGATTAGCCCACCCAGGCATAGGTCACTGACCCACATTGGGGCCTGAGGGGCAAAAATTTAATACTCCTGTAATAATAATAATAATTCAGATAAAAAAAAAAAAAAAAAAAAAGCTGCCTATCTACCTATTGGACAAACTAGAATCGTTCCGGACCACGGGAGTTTCCGGACCACAGAATGCCGGACTAGAGAGGTACAACCTGTATAATAAATGGGAAAATATTACAAATGTCTGTGTTTTCTGTTTTCTAAATGAAGATAACTTGGAAGCACTGTTGTCATGCAAAATCATTATGTTTTCTGTGTACAGATGCAATTGAGTAAACTACAAAATAGAATTTCTCAAACACTGCAAAGATGTACAACTGGTTTTATTTCATCTGGAACAATGAACCTAAGCTCATTATGATTAATAACAACAGAATCATTAGTTTACGGGAAGCTCTTTTTTTCTATTATGGAAAACTTCATCACCATCATCCATTTTCCACAATTGCATGGGTTAGCTGAGATTACCTGATAGCAGCACTCTATGATAGATAGTCTCTTGCAGCCTCTCTTGTCAGGTTTGTAACTTTAATGTCATTTCATACAACCATTTCTCTTGTCATTCTTGGCCTGCCCCTGGCTCTCCTCCCATCCACAATTAGGCTCATGCATCTCTTGACCAGTTGGTATCATCCATTCTCTTCACATGCCTAAACCATCTCAGCCTGCCTCTACACAAAACTTTTCCAATACCCTCAATACTGTACCTAGCCATCCTCTTAGCTCTAAACAGGGTTTCACTTCTTTCAGTGTCATATTGAACATCCACCTCACCATTCTCATTTCAACTCAGTCAAACCTGCCAATGTTTCACTGCCATACAGCATCACACTTCTCATGTCAGTTGTCTTTCTCTTTACATAGAGAGAAGGTCCACTTTCTGTCAATAAAGACAACAACTCTTAAATGTCTAACAGCCACTTCTGGTTCATACAACTGAGCTGGCTTCAGTACCCCTTCCTGCAATGACCATGTCTAGGGACATATCCCCAATGTTCTCCAGCCTTGCTAAGGCCAAATACAGAACACTTATAATCAGCAACATCCTGCAGTTTGCCATCCACTCCACTGCACCTCTTGTGTACCCACCTTTCACACTCACTGCACAATTTTGAGTTGTTGCCAACACCTGTCTTTCAGACAGAACATGATCATTTTCCACTTTTCACCATGAGACCATCACGCATTCTACTAAACAATACTTTTGTTTTTGTCACATTCACTCTCAACCCTCTAATTGTATTCCTTCCTTTCATTTCTTAAAATTTTGTTGCTACTTCAATAGTACAGTAATTGCTACCAGTAATAAGTCATCAGCTTACAACAGCTTCAAGGGCAGACCAGTCCTGAAGACCTGTGATACTACCTCAAACACCATGATAAACAGGAGGCTCAAGACAGACCCCTACTGAACCCTTCTTCTACCTTAAATTTACTATCACAGTAGATTTTGAGCCTGCATATAATGCCATAATCACTTGAACAAGGCACTCTTTGACTCCTAGATTTCTCATTGCCCACTTCACTACACCCTGTCAAATGCCATCTCTAAGTCTACAAATACGACCTACAGTACTGTACAACATTCTTTCCTTCCTTAGATATTTCTCTTGTAGATACTTGCACACTTTAACAAGAAAGCAACATTCCAGTGATACCAGCATATGTACTGTACAGTACAGTATCTCAAAAAAATATCTGCCAGGATGGATCAGATGACTTTTGAAATGTTACATGCAACTCATGATGTCCTGTGAGGGAAGGTATGTGTGGCTCTGTGGAATACTGATCCTACTACATTTGGTAACTGCACATCATATTAATTATGCCCAAATAAATACACACTGTATTGCTTATGTTAAACTAAAAACCAAAGTAAATGCATGTCTCCATATCTATCATCTGTGGTCTCACAATGTTTCACACAGGGTACGGACAGACAGTTTTTTGAGATACTGTACAGTAGAAATTAAACATTTGCTTATGAAATTAATGCTTAGCTTGCCTTTGGCTGTTTGTCTGACTTAGGCAGAGGTATAGTTGGTGTAGCAATACTTCTGACAACTGGAGGTGCAACAACTGTGGCTGCTGAGGCTTTGTTGGACACCTCGCTGCTGCTGCTGCTATTGTTGCTACTGCTGCTATTGTTGCTACTGCACATCAGCTGCAACTCTGACAGAATCTCACCAGCAGATTCAACACCACTATAAAAAAATCAAGATCAATAAATATGATGAACTGATCATGGAAATTCCATTGTATAAACAAGTCAGGACAAGGACAATGGTGTACAATGATCATGTTCTATGGGGTGGACACTAGTCAAACTCTTGGCATTGATGGCTGTTATTCATCAGAGAATTGGTAAAACTTCTTTTGCAACTATTGCCCTTAAAAAGAGGTCTTAAATGTGAAGGTTTGGAGGTACTGAGTGTTGGTGCCACAGTAGCTTGTGTAACCTTGCCTTCATTTGTTTTTTTATCAGACATCCTGGACATTTAAAGTTGTATGTAACTGGCGTAAGATAAGTGTTGCTGTATGGGAACAAAATACAGACAGTTGAACAGGATGATATATACAGACTTGAGTGCACTGAAAAGAGTGAGAGGAAATTGAACTGTACAGTAATATGATGTGGTTGGGGACTGAAAGTACAGTACAAGTACAATACTGTACAGTATAGTCTAAGCTTACGCAGTCAATTAAACCCGTGGAGGTCAGCGCAAAATGAGAAACGCGTAAACGAAATAACAGAACATATGGGATTAAGTAATTGAAATAGAGACTGGGTCGACCCCCAGACTACCCTTTTTCCGACAAAATATGTATGTTGTAGTAAAAATAACATCCTAATTTTATGATGGTATGCACACACAGTTAATATTTAAGAGAAATATCAATAATATTAGGTTTTCAACACTTACGTTAGTAGAAGAGATGGCTGGGCACACGGGGATGGGGGGTTGGTTCCGAGGCAGAGGACAGATTATTGGCCCTCACCTGTATCACTATCCACCACAGAGGCTTGCAGGGCCTTTTTGTCAAACCCCTCAAAATCCATATCCTCACTATCACTGACTTGGGCTGGCTGTGGTGGGTGGCGGGTGAAGAACTTGGTAATGTTTTGTTGACTGGGTGACCTAGCGCGCACCCTGCCCGCGCCGCTTCCCGCGTAAATGATGGAATGTACAGCGTAACTAATAATTGCCGGTCTGGCCAGGTGCCACATAAATGACCAACAGCGTAAAGGAAATCCGCGTAAATCGAGACAATACTGTACTGTATTTGTGAAGTTTTGTGTAGAAGTAGGCGAGATTTTCATGCATGTGGAGAGGATGGAAGAGGTCAACTGGATCAAGAGCTGTACAATTTTGAATATGGAGGGAAGGAGAGCTAAGGGTAGTCCAAGAATGACATGGGGAGAAGTTGTAAGAAATGATCTCAGTGATAAGAACCTAATGAAAACAAGTGCAAGAGATCCTGCAGCATGGAGAGCTGCCATCAGTTAATCACGGCTATCCAACCAGAGGGTGGAAAATGGCCACAAAATGATGATGATAATGTCCTTTGCATAAGTCTAGAATAATTCAGTGGTTCCCAAACTTTTTCATGTGATGCCTTCCCGTCCCTTTTGCTTTTTACTTAACCTTCATGCCTTCCCATTTTTAAAAATTAAATTAATAAATTTTAATCAATTTTATACCCTGTGCTTGTATTTATATTACTTTCCATGTATCTTGTGCATATGAGGTAAGATGGAAATACAGTACAGCACCTGTATACAGTAAGACGATAAGAAAATAAATTTTTCACAATTTTATTGAAAATTTCTGAATAAAGAAGAAAAGAATGTTAGTATATACAAGTGATATCCCTGTTAGCCAGAATAATTGGTGCAGAGCACTTGCGGAATGAGAAATTTCTGGGTAACGAGACGACTCGCTCAAACCCGGAGAAAAATCCCCCATCCCCAGAAATTTTCCGGAAGTTGAGCATTATTTCATCGTCAGAATTTGTTCCTTGACCCATAAAGAACAATTGGAGAGTTTCTGTTAATTTTTTAAGAATTTTCGAAATAATGCACCTGATTTTCAACCTTGGAAATCGTTCCCAAACCTTGAATTTTCCATGTAAGAGGGATTCTGGCTAATGGAGACATTACTTGTACAGTATTTTTTTTCCCACACTGCCCCCCCCCGTCCCCTCATGTACCAACCTTGCACCCCCCAGTTTGGGAACCACTGGCTCTAGATGATCTTCATGGGAGAAGAGGGGGCAGCTGAGTCTCCTTTTCTTAACTCATTTATAAAATGGGATTTCCTGTCTCAATCTAACCTTAATAGCTTCACATCAGATCAAGGAGACTCATGTATCTGAAGCCAGCTAGAAGAAAGAACCAGTTCATCTGCATTATTACCAATCAGATGTCTCCAAATGAAGCTCAAGATCCCCATCAAGAATAATGGACATCATGGAAATTTTTCTCAAAGATATGACTTCAAGATGTCCGTGAGAACTTAAACCCAATTAATGAAGTTTGGCTCCAGGAGTCAAACATCTTCTTAGATACACAGACATTAGAAGCATCAAGCTGAGATTTACAGTATAACCTAAAATCAATGTAGTGAAGAAGTGCTCAGAAAGCCTTAATAAAATCTTACTGCTTACATATTCACAAAGAGGGGGAATCCATGTCTTAATCCTTAAACTAAATCCTCACTAGCTAGCGATAAAGAATGTTCAAGAAAATCTTTGATTGAAATCCTTACATAAGAATTATAAGTCTAGGTTACAATTTGTCCAGCTCAGGGAAGGGCCAATGACAAATATAAGTTCTCTCACAATAGCATGGATCTCTAACATCAAATCACTCTAAAAATCACACTAGAAAGAAAATTCCTCACACAAAAGCCAAATCCAATTTAAATTTGCCAAAAGCAACTTGGAACATAAGTACAGGTCAGATGATCAAAATACAATGTCCTCAAAGTTCTGTGTTGAAAATGGACTTGATAGAATCTAGAAGACAGCTAAAGAAAAACAAATGATAAAGCCTTTATTACAGGTCATTGTAAAGCTCACATAAAAGGTGCTGACACATTAACAGATAAGTCCATCATGTAAATATTTAAAATTCTTTACAGTACTAGCGAATCCAAAAAGCAATTTCAAATAAACCTATAAAACAATGAAAAAGAATACACTAATCCTGAACACCTGACAAAATCTTCATAATTCTTGTAAAAGTCGATAAGATAAAGCCATTGTGATTTAAAGCAAGAAAGAACTGTGCAGAAGATCAAACACTGAGGGAGAGAGAGAGAGAGAGAAGGGGTAACCTGACCACAATCACCCAACAGAGTTACAGTGCAGGCAAATTGGGCATTTGCCTGCCGCCCCAGATCTTGACCGGCCCAAAAATATTGAGTGAATATTTTTTTTACAGTTTCTCTTTTTACAAACGAAATTAGCTTTCTGGACATAGTGTGAGGGTGTGAGATTGTGAGGCTGCTGTGACAGTGTATGCCTGTAAGGGTGTGTGAGGCTGCTGTGACGGTGTATGCCTGTAAGGGTGTGTGAGGCTGCTGTGACAGTGTATGCCTGTGAGGGTGTGTGAGCCTGCTGTGACAGTGTATGCCTGTGAGGGTGTGTGAGGCTGCTGTGACGGTGTATGCCTGTAAGGGTGTGTGAGGCTGCTGTGACGGTATTTTATTAGAATACAGTATTTTCTCGATTTAACTAACTAATTCGAGCCACCCCTTTCCGTTAAATCAAAATTTACGCTAAATTGAATTTCCGTTATATTTGCTCGATTTAGCGAACTACGTAGTTTGCTAAATCGAGTGTTTCAGTAAAAATCCTCGCCCGCTGCTTGGTGTTTGTTTACATCTGCTCAGTCTGTGTCCCGTTTACACATAGTGTGTCGTTCACTGCTACCTGTTGGTCAACTAACTACTGTACTTTGCTTAGACATCATGCTGAAAGTCTCTCAGAAAGGAAGTGGTGTGGGGTAGAAAGTCAAAAGAGTGCAGCTATCAATTGGAAAAATGTTTGGAAATTATAGAAAAATTTAAAACAAACACTGAACCCTCTATGTACATATCATGTGCCTGAGGTGTCTCCATAGGTGTGAGCATATTAATAGAATTAATCTTGATTTAGCAAACTAGTTCACCAAATCGAGTGAAAAATAACGGACAAAATTTCTTCCTCGAAATCGAGAGTTCGTCATATCGAAATCCATTAAATCGAGAGTACACTGTAAGTCCTGGAACTTCAAATCAAAATAAATAAGAGAGAGTCATTGGCAGTATTAGGTGAGAGATGATGGAACTTACCTGACGACATAGTTGAGGCAGACGACGTACTGTGGCTTGTGGTCCTTAGGGCCATGGATGAGGGTGGCCTGAGTCACCAGCCACACGTAGCCACCACCTCGGGCCAGGAACCTGTAGCGGCCAGTTTCCACCTGCCCCTTACTGCGTACTGCAACACAAATATCATGCCTTAGAAGAGTAACTAGCAGTGGACTTCACAAAAAGACAAATACAGTATGTGTGTCACTTCATCACAATTAATACGAAAATGGAAACACATAATTTAGCCATTATCTGCAGAGAATCTGGTATTAGAATGGTGTAGGAATCAGAACAGGTGAGGAATGTGCTGGTATACTATTACTAGGAATTGGGTAAAAATTTGTTTTATCACAATTTCTCCAATTGGTATGATATATTACTTTTTCTAGTGTATTTTGGTAATTGATTCTGACATTTTTTCTTGCGGAAATGAGCCGTTTTGATTTTACTTTTATGAGGAGGCGAAAACACCCAAAAAGTGCCTCATTTCCACAAGACATTACATTCAGAATCGACTAAAAAACACCAGAATATACAGTACCAGAAACATAATTTCTCATACCAAAAGAGGCTACCCTCCTATTATGATGTACCTATCTAAGGAAGGGGGCAATGCAACTTAACCTACTATTTGCCCAGTAAATGCCATAGAAAAAAATCGATTCCAAACTAAAAAATGGGTAAAATTATCGTTTCGGTCATCCACCTATTTCTAACGTAACCTAAGCTAACCAAGTGATAATGGTATAAATTTGAAATACCTAATAGGATATATACGAATATTAACCAGGAATTATCTTAGTGTTGTGGTAGAAGATCGTCGTGACTAGTGCTCGGACAGGAACTGGTGCTGGGACTGTGACTAATGGTAAGACTGTAACTAGTGCTATGGCAGAAACTAGTGCTAAAACAAGAACTAGTGCTATATCTGGGAGCATAACCAGTACCAGGATGGTTAGTAGTGGTAAGAGGGCCTGTTGAGGAGGTTGGGAGGAGTGGTCGCCTTGCCCAGTGGTGGTGGTGGTGGTGCAGTAGACCCTCGGGACCTGTGTGTCCGCCCTAAAGAAACTCACCTGGGACGGCTGGGCGGTGGAATGGCCCATACTCGCCCATTACCGCCACCCTCCTCACCAACACCAACATCACTACCCGGAAGGAGGAGGAAGAGAAGGAAAAAGAACGTTGGGTGTAGAATGGAGATAGACACAAAGAAGGTAATAAGCGAAAGGAAAAACATCTACAGTACATTGCCTCTTCCTACTACTCCCACTCTTGACTCTTCCTCCATTTTGAGGATGGTGGAGGAATGAGAAGAGTTGTGAGGAGTTGTGGTCGGAAGTGTGAGTCTAGTCGTGTTGGTGGTGATGCTGGTGCTCTGCACAGTACTACAGTCCTATAACACTCAGGCAATGCTGTGTCTGCCTGTGTTAAGCCACAGCACCTATTTCTACTCATACTAATCGCTTCCATCCACTTGTCCTTACACTAAACCTTTATCACCCGTCACGGGATTTAATACTAATGATATTAATAATAATTAACGGTTTATTGAAAGAGTTTAATTGGGAAATGGGTCATTTGATTGACAAATAATATACAAGTAACATAAGCGATACAAATATGATATACTGTACTGTATAATAACAAGGTGGGGAGAAGGTCATAATACAGGATATTTCAACAGAGTAACAGTGCAAAAAGGTAAGATTGGCTGGGAGTGAACACACTGGTTGATCACGAGGTGTTGATAAATTTTATAATGGTTGGGACTGGGCTGTTCTTATAGCAATCAGTACTGTATGTGCTCATAGGGGCTGGATGTGGTTGTGGTGCTGAACAGTAATTCTCGGACGAGGGATCTCGGGTGGAGGTAGGGACAGGTGTTGAGGATGGTGCACAAGCTTCTCAACAAATTTGCAGATGAGGTCGCAGTATAACGATTTACTTCTAAAGTAGTAATGTAACAGTAAGACATAGTAATGGAGAGAACATAATATCTCTACCTTTACCAACTGTGTAACTGTTGAGGAGACTGTTACTATGAATATAACAGCTACTTGTGAAACTGTCATATATGTAACAACCTTTCTGGATTGTCACCATTTGTAACAGTCACTTGAGAAGCACGTTACCTTATATTTTAGACATATTAAAATATAGATCAAAGATTATTGGATCTTCTGTAGTGAAATTCAATTTGTAACTTTGTTTGTATTTATTATAAAAGGTTTCTATGTACACTTTCAAAAAGGATCATCAATGTAACTTAATCAGTGTAGTTATGAGTGCTGAATGAGGATGAAAGCTATATTAAATAGTTCTGCTAATTAGGTCCTGTCGATGTGAGAGCGAGTAGGGACCCATCGAGGGAGTACGGAAATATATCCGACGGCCTCCTTCGAGGGAAGACGGAACCATCCACGATGGCTCTCAATAACGTCTTCCTCTAGTCAGGGTTATCAAACTACTGCCCGCAATAGGTGGCCAGAGAGCTGGTTACTTAATGCTTAACTCAGCACCAAGTGACGCGACTTCCAGTGGGCACACCTTATCCCGTGCTCTGAACATGAGCCTCATAGCTAGTGGAAAGCTACAGGGGGTGATAGAGTATATAAGTCTAATGTAATTAACCCATTTATATAAATATAAATACAAGGGCTAATACAGTACATGCTCGTATGGGCTGGATGCAGTTGTGGTGTCGAACAGCAATTCGCGGACGAGGGATCTCGGGTGGAAGTAGCAGCAAGTGTTGAGGATGGCGCAGAAGCTTCTCAACAAATTTGCAGGTGAGGTCGCAGTGATGATCAGAGATAGCCGAGAAGGTCGGTGTGTTGATCGCTTCTTGATATGTTGAGGAGGAGAGGGAGAATACTCTTGCATGCCCTATTCTGCATTTTTTCCAGGTGTTTCTGTTGTGTGGCATTTAGGGAAGAAGACCAAGCAGGAGGGGCATGCAGTAGGTGAGCTTGGGAAGTATGAATGTTGAGTAAGCACTGAGGAGCTTGGGGGCAGGAACTCTGAGGAGCTTGAGTAGGCGGAGGAGGTGAAGACAAAAACTGGAGGATTTGACAATTGTACTGATGTGTATTTTCCAATTTAGTTTGTTATCTACAGTATAGTGATGCCGACGAGCTTGGGAGGTGGGGAAAGGTCAGAGGAGAGGTTGATGAGCATAACCATGGTCTTGGTATGGTTGATGGTGACATAGTTGTTGGTGGCCCTATTTTGGAGGGCGGTGTAATCGGGAGCCGAGTTGTTCACACTGATTCCAATGGTGGAGTCGTTGACATATATCCAGTGAGCAGAGGTTTCTCTTAGGGCAACATTGATAAGCATGAGGAAGCAGAGCAATCCCTTCTTGGTGCCTTGGGGGACGCCACCGCCACAGGCGAGTGACTGAAAAGTGGAGACAGCCCCTCGGATGGCTTGACGTCGGTCACTAAGGAAGTCTGTAAGCCATGGTATAAGACTTCTCCGAAACCTGAGGTCGATAGCTTTGTTGACGATTAAATTGTGGTTGACTCGGTCAAATGCTTTGGTATGTATGTATGTATGTAGGTGTGGTCACTGAGGGCCACCTGATGGTTGTATGACCGTCAACCCTCGCCAAACTACTGAGACTGCTGACCTTGCATTAAGGGATCATATCAGGATTTGTAAGTCGTCATGTTTTTTAGTGTTGCATAGTACAGAAATTCAGAGGTTCAAATTAGACTTAGTAATCATAATCGTCTTATTTCCAAATGAACGCCGACAAGTGCTAATAACAGTGTCGTGACAACTCTGAACCCTTGATATAAAGACCCGAAAGTATTCTTTTTTACGCCACATTTTCTAGATCAGTACAATGGTGTGGCTCCTAAAGGAATGATTGCTCGTTAATGAGTGTGGAGACAGCACACTGTATATTAAGCCTCGGTACACAAGGAGGCAGGATGGTCGCTACTGCTGTCGACCGCCTTCACTTCCTGTAGACTTAAGTACACATATACAGCTAGGTGAAATAGGAGCGCCTTGGAATCAAACCACTGACACCCAGGACAGAAGGCAAGCTCTGTATCCACTCAATTGCTGAGCTTCTAGTAAGGTACCGAAAAAAAAAAAAATAGGCAGAGCTTTGCAAGTGTCTTTGCTGGGCAACATTGTCACACGTCATACAACTCCAACGACAAAACGAGGAGCTTGTATAATAGCGAGGCTACCAGCGGCCCAGACATCGCCACAACTTAAGTCACGAGTCTCAGAGGTTCCTATGGTAAATAATTTCTGCTCCACCCCTTCGCCCCACCATCTTCAGTAAAACCTCACAGCACTTTTAAATGTACTGTATTTCACTGTTGCTCTGCATAGTAACTAACAAATCATATGGTTTCTCACATCCCAGCTCAAGGTAAATTCGGTGCAAAAAACTCTGAGAATCCACATCCTGATAAACAAAGATCACTATTAACGGGAAACATGACATAAAAATCTCTTAGGCTTGAAAGCCCTGGCAGACAAGAGGCAATTTTTGTTAAAAGCGGCGACCCTGTTGAGTGTTGACACAGTAAGAAGACCCGCCACTTAACCCCACCCCCTCCCGGTAACGTAAGGCTTCCCCTCCCAGTAACATAAGGCTCCCCCCTCCCAGTAAGACCCGCCACTTAACCCCACCCCCTCCCGGTAACGTAAGGCTTCCCCTCCCAGTAACATAAGGCTCCCCCCTCCCAGTAACGTAAGGCTTCCCCCTCCCAGTAACGTAAGGTTCCCCCTTCCCAGTAATGTATGGCTCCCTCCTCCCATAAAAACAGCGCCTGCACCAGCAATCAATAGTGCCTAGCGTTACCCACCACCCAGCAATAACATGCTGATGGAAGCTACGCCAGATGAGCGCTCACCCAACCTTCCAACTAAGGTGGCAATCTTTTTACAGTAGAAGCTCGCGTCCTCATATGGACCGCTGGTACGAATTGGAATAAGTATTTATTATTTTTCAAATTGAGGAAAAAGTAAAAAAAATCTTTCTAATTTGTGTGTGGGTGTGTGTGTGTGTGTGTTAAGTGATAGCGCTGGGCTTGAAGACGCACACAATAGAACTCGTTACACGCACACAGCTGCTTTGCAGGCACACAGCTGTTTCTCGTG